TTAATTTATTTTATATTCTTTTTTTCCTTCCTGAAGCTGAGGCCGAAGAGGGGTGGCAGGGACGATGCGGGGCGCCCCCTGGCGGCTGTGCCCAGTCTCCGCGGGGCCACTCGAGGGACTTCCAAGGACGGGGAATTTAGAAGCAACGTTCTGCCTCAAAAGTGGCCTTCAAAGGTTGAAGGCACGCCAATCCTACCCTAAGGCAGGGTAGAATGCGAAAGGTTGTCTTTCCATGTCTGCCCCGGGGAAAGCAGGGCTGTAAATTCAGCGCTGTAGAGCATCAGCTGCGACACGAAAACCTAAAGGGAAATGGGTGACTCCAGCTGCTGGTGGAGTCTGGGCCACCAGTTTCACTCAGGGTCAAAGGGTCCTACCATAGCAAAGTCAGGGTATTGCCCGGTTACAGAGACAGGCCAGTCTTCTTCAGAAAGTTAAAATGAAGCCTTTAATCGGGCTTATGGACCAGAGTGATTAAATACCAATGTTTCATTTTGTTCCACCTGGCCTCCTGCGTTCAAGGCGGTGGTGACGAGAGACACAGAGCACAGGTAAGTCAGGTGATAAGCAAAGAAAGCCCTCCAGCAGAACAAGCTCTTCCCAACTACCTCCGGCCCACAGAGCCTGCCTCAGGAGCAGGATCTTCCCCGATGCCGAGAGATGCAGAGGAGAAGTACCACGTCCAGAGCTTCAAGGCCTGATGCACGACTGTTGATTTACTGTATGCTTCTAGAGCTCGAGGCAATCAACTGAGAAAACATTTTTTAGTCACTCAACCAGTCATTACAAGTCACTGTAAAAAGCCCTTGCCTTCACACTGTTGTTTTTCAAACCTAATCAAGAACTTTTTGCTATTTCTTCTTTCTTCAGACCATGTATGTTCAATCTACAACTATTTGAGGACAAAATGAAAAGAGCGGTTGTGACAGGAAAACTAAAGGGACAGCCTTTAAATTTTTTACTACATACACTTCCAGGTAATCTGACAGGTTGGGTGCAGTCCAACAAAAATCAAGGACACAACTCCTTTCAAATTAGCAAAATTGGGATATCTCTGGCTCCTATTAAATTGATCAAAATAATAATAAAAAAAAGGATGTTGCTGTCACTAATTAAAGCAATAATTAGTGAGATGTTGACCTATTTTAAAGACTTATAGTTCCTCACCACTCCTCTGTAGAGGATTCTAAAGGCCAATCAGAATAAATCATTTCCTTGAAAAGAGTGTCAAAACCCCAAAAGAAAACAGAAAAATCAGAGGCTTTTGCTTCTTCTTTGCATTTCTTTTGCAATTCACGCCATTTTGCATTTCAAGCAATTAAAATGTCAGATTCCTTGCCTTAGTCAAACAGATGAAGCCAGTTATAGGATTCAAGCCACAATTATTAAAGGTCAAGTCACTGTGAAAAGCTTTTGCCTTCACACTGTTGTTTTTCAAACCTAATCAAGAACTTTTTTCCTATTTCTTCTTTCTTCAGACCATGTATGTTCAATCTACAACTATTTGAGGACAAAATGAAAAGAGCGGTTGTGACAGGAAAACTAAAGGGACAGCCTTTAAATTTTTTACCACGTACACTTCCAGGTAATCTGACAGGTTGGGTGCAGTCCAACAAAAATCAAGGACACAACTCCTTTCAAATTAGCAAAATTGGGATATCTCTGGCTCCTATTAAATTGATCAAAATAATAATAAAAAAAAGGATGTTGCTGTCACTAATTAAAGCAATAATTAGTGAGATGTTGACCTATTTTAAAGACTTACAGTTCCTCACGACTCCTCTGTAGAGGATTCTAAAGGCCAATCAGAATAAATCATTTCCTTGAAAAGAGTGTCAAAACCCCAAAAGAAAACAGAAAAATCAGAGGCTTTTGCTTCTTCTTTGCATTTCTTTTGCAATTCACGCCATTTTGCATTTCAAGCAATTAAAATGTCAGATTCCTTGCCTTAGTCAAACAGATGAAGCCAGTTATAGGATTCAAGCCACAATTATTAAAGGAACACTCAGAAATCTTGACTTTTTAACCTGTCAGATAAGAAGAAGGAAGTGTTAATTTTATCATGGCCAGTATAAAATCAAACCAAAGTATATACCTGTTTAGATAGATCTTCTGCACTTCTGTGTTCACAAACTCGGTTTAAGTAAGCTTGAATTTTTAGTAAGGTGTTGCACTCTTAAGATGAAGATTCGAAGCACGTAGGATGCGATACATGTTTGGAAAGGAATTCCAGCCTTCCCTACACGAAGCCTTGATTTGAAATGGCGTTGCAGCATGTACTGCAGTCCTCAGCTGCACTTGGGCCCCACAGCTCCGAAAGAGCACCCCCCTCCGTGTTCTCAGAGCCCCCCTGACTGGAAGACACTTTGGTTGAATCCATGTGAGCTGAAGGTTCATACTACCTACTCGAGTGACGGGTATGGCCAAAGCCAGTGTTCATGCTGTATGCTTCGTGCAGTCAATTAAATGCATCTTAATACTATATATGCACAAAATAGAACATTAATTCTGCATTAAGTGAAGAAATGCATGATAATATCAGAGATGGCCCAGAAACGCTTTTCCTGATCTATGAGAAATGTAGGACTTTTGGAATGTTATGTAAGAAAGAACAGAATGACTTTAAGGACCAGGAATAATAGAAACGGCACTAAATGTTGCGTGAGAAGGTGGAAGACCACACCGAGGAATAAATGAAACTGCTTGATGTTAAAAGTTAAGACTACAAATGGTTGGAGGCAGTGGGAGGAAAAAGATTTGGGGTATGGTTTGGTTGCGTAATATCTGTATGCATTCTGTATCTGTAATATCTGTATACATTGATATTGTAATATCAATGTATATTACACATACATTGTATGTGTAATATCTGTGTGTGTTATCCACCTGGAAAAAAAAGGCCAGTGGGATGCTTTTAGAGGAAATTATTTTATGCCATAACCCTAGGTGCAAGCAAGCCGTCATTGGGAATATCGTGTACAGCCTGATCAGTCGTGGTCAGGCAAAGGGCTGCCAAGACAGCAGAGAGGATGAAGAACCTCTGGGTCATGAGGAGATGACAAGAACTTGATTTGTCAGCTCAGCAAAGTGAAGTCAGATGGGAGGTATGATGATTCTTGGCAAATACCCGAGAAGAAACAACATTGGGATAGGTTAAGAACTGATTGTACTATAGGATGCCACCACTAATATTATATTGAAAAAAACCCAACATCCCAACACTCTAATCTAAGCATCAAGGGAAGTAAATTCATATACAGCCTTCTCATAAGTTGGTGGAAGAGGAAAAAAACTGATTTTGAGAGTAACTGAGTTCATTTACTAGGATGATTATTATTGTCCTTTTTTCTAACGTGTCAAAATCTCAAAAAATTGAAGAAAAAAATAGAATAGATCTCAGCCTTAATGAAGCAAAATGTTTCTCATGTGTTTATGAGTTCAAAATCTGCCACAATTGAAAAATAAAAGGTTGTATTCAGAGAGGGAATGAGAGAAAGAAAGAAAGAGAAAGAGCGAGAGCAAGAGAGCAAGAACAAGAGAGAAAGAGGAAGAGAAACAGGGAGAATCAAAAAGAAACAGAGAAAAGGAACTAAAGAAATACTTTCACATAAAAGAAAGTGTTCATAACAAGATGTTAAGTCCATTAATTCAAGGTAATTTTGAGCTGGGTAATTTATCAAAATGTACTGTTTCACTATTTGGTTTCAAAGAATCAGCGTTGTTTTCTTTAAAAAATCTATTAAAAAATCCTAAATGCACTGCTATACAAATAACCCTCTTTCTTCTTTGAAATGTTCCTTCAGTCATAATGCAAAAACTTGCATAATATGATAGACTTCAATATGTCAATATTATTGTAAGCTTACAGGAACAGAACATCAGGGTATGTTATGGCTTTGTTAACATTGCTGGAAATAAATTCTCTAAATCAAGGGATTCAAAAGCTTTTCACTTTATTGTTTTTCCTGATTTTAAGCAAAAAGACAAGGAAAAAAAATTAATAGGTTTTGTGGACTGACAGAAGAACATTTAACAAGGTTTAGGTTCTACTAACTGCAAGCAATCAAAGAATGCAGTTCCTGGATGTTTATGATGAAATGCACGTCGGAGCTCAGGTATATTGGTTTTGGTTGCATGGTGATTCGCACACAGGCATATATAGACTGAATAATATGGATAAATAAATATAGACCAGGTATCAGCTATATCAACATTAATCCCTTTTTTAATTACATGCTACATCATGTTACAAGCTTCAGCGATACATAACCTTCATATAATAAAAATGTTTTTATTTTTCCTCAATTTTGAAGACAAAGCAAGCTTCGGAGAAAAGTCACCAAGGATTCAAAAGTTTGAGGAAATCCCAAATACAAGAAAATCAGAGACTAGAACTGAAAATGCCTCACTGGTTTTACCATCTTAAACTACAAATGCTGCTGTGTGGCCAGATATAACGCTTGAGCCTGCAAGATGAAGGCTTTTCTACCGCTCATATTTGGATGTGAAGGAGTGAAGATGAAAGTCTACACAAGCTCGTCTGCCTGGAAACAGCAAAAGTGCCTGGAATATTAGGGGAACACAGAAGCTGAGTGTTTATTAGGAAGATTGCAACTAGTCCCGAGTAGAAATGAGGACTGAGATTCCGTACAAAGTTACGTGAACTAATTCTGCAACTTCAGAACTTTATATCGCAACAAGGAGAAGCACAGAAAGGAGATAAATAATTCAAGGAGCAACAGAACTGTGAAAATTACATACAATTTTTTGTTAAAAAATGTATAACACATTTTTTTCAGTTATGTATACTCATCCTTTTAGGTTCATCTTAAGACATTTGTACAAGCAACTTTACTTCCAGCCAATATTAACATTTTGTGGGCTAACACAAAAATCACTAGATGTTTATGTCTCTACACACACAGGTTTTTTTTCAATGTATTCAAGCACTCATCCTCTAAGAAAGTAAGAACAATTCTGTCCAGCAAGCACACACGCACAAGATTTTTTTTTCAATTTATTCAAGCACTCATCCTCTAAGAAAGTAAGAACAATTCTGTCCAGCAAGCAAGAACCACAGACAGGTCTCAAGTGAGTAAGGAATGCCTTCGAAGAGTGTTTTTCTGCTGAAAACTGAAATATCTGCTGAGTGTGCCAGAGGAAGCTGTGTCTGTTGGATTCCCGACCGCAGCGTTATTTCTCCCTTGAGCCACATGAAACAGGATGAAGGGCAGAGGAGATGGAAAGCGGGGATGAAGCGCTGGGACTGCAATTTCAGCCTGAAGTCTTCCCCGAAGGAGGGGATCTGAAGGCTTCTAAGGAGGATAAATCCTTCCTTCTGCGTATTCGTACATCCAGAACTGGAATTTGAAAAGACTAGCAAAGAAGCAGAGCAGTAACTGAATCCAGGCAGGAAAAGGCAATAACAATTTCTGTGAAGCAATTATATATATCAGAGGTAACTCAGAACAGCCTTATCAATGAAAGAGAAGGATGACTGACCCTTTGAAATGCTTCTGAAAAATCTCTACAGAATGAGCAGTAGAAAGTTGACTTTGAATCTACTAGAATTATACAGAAACATTATTGTGTTACATATACACACACTAATTAATGTAACACAAATCAATACAATGCACAACAGTACTGCATGTGTCCCCCCTCCACAATTCTGCATTTCCCTGTTGTGTTTCAGAGTTTACATCCTATAGTACACAACTCCTACGTTTTCCTCAATTTTAGAAACTGTCCTACTGGCAACCACTGCTCTTCTGGCTGAGGCCCACAGGGTGGAGGTTTAACCATCAACGCTGCTCAGCATCAGGAGTAAAGTTGGATGAACTGAACCTTCTACCCCCAGGTAAGATGGGTTAGAGCTGCTACGCCTGAGTTACAAGCAGAGTTGCTGTGCCCTCCCATCCCTACTGAGAGACGGCATGTTTAGAAAGCAATTGCAACGGCAGGGAGGGATTGGCAGATATCACACTAATGGATGGTGTTTTCTCAGGGTTCTGGATAAAAAATAATCTAAGGAAAGCTGGAGAGGTTCTGGAGAGCTGGTTCAGCAGAACTGAATTTCCTACTTCTTCAGTTTACCCAACAGTGAGAGAAAATCTAGTGAAATAGGTGTTCTTATAGAGCCAAAATTGACTGAGCTGTAGCAAACAAGCAGCTTCAGAAAAATAAAACCCTGAAAAATGCACAGCAAGAGCTTACGAGCATGACCAAGATGAATAAGGGAAAATGACTTGACACCCTTTACCTAAAAGTCTTCTATATTCTGGCTTCTGACTATGAATTATTTAGAAAGTGTTTGGAACACATCATTGCTTATGGGAAAAGCCTGCATCTCTAAAGAGATCACAGCTTTGCGGACAGGATCCTAATTTATTATTTCAATATACCATCTCAGGGGTGCCCAACTACTGAAACAAGAAAAAGTAATTTTAAGAGATTTGTTTACTCACTTTTCATTTTTTCCCTCCTAATAAGATGCAATAAGCTTGATTACCCTTCCTCCAGACAGCTCCTGGGAGGGCCTGAGAAGACAGCATGGCATGGGACGGCTGCAGAACCACGCCAGCAGCTTCAGACACAGCAATTGCCTGCCAGACAACTGGCATTTAAATTCAACAATATTTATTATTTTCCATCTAAAGGCTGATTCACACCATGGTGAACTCCAGGGACAGAAATTTGCTGGTAAGCCCCCATTTCAATACTGGTACTCAATCCAGGCTTCGGTGACTACCTATCTGAACCTCTTGAGATCTTAATTGCCTAACCCAGCAGCAGTGGATAAGCGTATATTTATATATGTTGCACAGCAGGTTGTGTCCCCAGTGCCAGGCTATGGGAAGCACTGGAAGAGCTTATTAAAGTTCCAGGTAAAGTTTCTCAGTTTGCAGCATAAGAAAAGCTGTGACCACAGCAGTACTGGTCATTACAGAAGCTCTCTCATCGGAAGCAATTAAGAAGAAACCAGACCAAGTATTTCTGCAGGTCAAGCACTGGCAGGGCACGGGAGCAGTGTTACAAACATTACATCTTCAGGATTTAATTCGTGTGATTCTCTCCACTGCTCTCTGCTACTTACACGATGCAAGTCTGTTTATAGCAAAGCAGGGACAGTAGGGACAGCTTAATCAGGACAGTCTAACGTATGGGCAATTATCCAAAGCCACACATTTTCTAAATTCTGTATGGGCAGAGATGGAGCTTAAGAGCTCTGCGGGGATCAGAGCTGCTAACGAACTTCTAAGGAGGGCTCTGGGGACTGGGATGTGCATAATGAGAAAATCTGGATATTCGGTGTGAAGAACTCTCCTAATTTATCTGCAGACTATGTAAATTAAATTTGTATTTAACGCCTATCACTACACAGTCCACTTTAGCACTGGGATAAATTGGGTATCCTGTGAATTTTCCCTTTTTTGTTACTAGTGTGGCTGAAAGTGTTCAGAAAGGGGAGATCTGGAAAATTTGGTCAAGCATGCTGTTGGGAAGTGTTATTATACCACCAAATCTTCCTGTCAGCTCCCACCTCTTGAGGTTACAGCATCATGTCTGCAGGCTACGTGCTTATTTGTTCCCATGTGTTACATTTGGATATTATCTGCATATACTGTGCATGTATATAAGTATTGTGTATGTATGTATGTAGGTGCATACATATATTTATATGTGTGTATTTGTGTGTGTGTATATACATTTATAACATATCTACTAAAGCAAAGGGGTCTAGAGGAGCTTTAAAATACTAGATTTATAAAAGAAGGGGAAAAAAAATCTTCCAAAATACTTCATTCTATGTTTTCTTCTGTTATTCTTTTCATCTAACTAAACATGCTTCCACTGTATTTAACTCACTACAGCCTGAAGACATCCTCAGTGTTCACCCCTAGCTCTAATCCTGTTCCTTTGTTACCAAATCAGTTCAGAAAAACATCTCTGTTCAGAAAAGCACTTCAACATATGCTTAAGTACATTCTTAAAGGTAAGTGACGTCTTGAATCAGCCTAATAATTTAAAGTAGTATTAATAAACACTCCTTAATAAACAATTCCATTTGATATGTCTTCACAATGTAGTGCCGCTCTCGTATTCTTTCATGTTTCTCCATTTTTACCACTAAGATGACAAATAGTAGGATATGGAAAGATGGTTCCACATGTTTGATAGTCGAGGCTTAAGATGGCTTTGAAGAGCCTCATTTTCAGAAGCACACCACTTCAGAAAATCAGGTTCACCGTGAAAGAGTCACCCTCTGAGCACTCTACATCAGTAATTATTTTGGAAAACTTGACCTACTCTTCTAGGCAAACCATTATATCCATAGCAACATACAAGTCTGCTTCCAGTCTGCCGCTGCGGTTCTGTATCCATTGATGGTGTTGTGAAGAGTTGTTGGAACTGATGACAACTGGTACACGCACAGGAGCATGCACACCTTGGGGGAGGTGTGTGTGAGAGGTACAAACTGATGTTTGCCCATGCAAAGTGTCCTCTGTTTCCGCAAGGCTCAGACACACAAGGTTCCCTGAGTGTAAACAGGGATTTTCCTAAAACACTCTCCACCATTTATCCTTCTTTTCTGCAAAAAAGCATTTGCGTTATATTCAAGAATGGGATGAAATCTGTGACCAAGCACTTCAGCAGTGGTGCAGTGGAGGGGCCGTGGAAGTCCTCCGTCAGTGCAACATGGGAGGAGGACCATCACCACCAGCCTTACAGCCTGACCCTCACCTCACCGATTCCCAGTGTGCTCCAGCACAGCATGAGACATTATTCTCTTCCTGACAGTGGCAGGGTGAGGGCAATTCCACTTTCTCCATCAGTGCTCCCAGCAACACGCTTTCTCTCTCCCACTACAGTCTCAGCTCTGGAGCTGCAATGGGAATCTCCTGTTTGAGGGGCCACCCATAACTTGCAGGGATCTTGCAGGCATTTTGCTCCTACGGTTCAGCAAATAGCACCACAAGAAGTTGTAATTGCACAAGAACAACGACAAAAACACCAGGGAGGAATAAGCTACAGGGAACAGTGTAAGGGGATGGGGGAAAAGCAACACTATCACTCAGAAAAGGCACGTAGGACTTTATACTAAAGCTTGGTGACTGGTCACACTTTACAATAGCCCAGGAACTATCTGTAAGCTCCTAAGTAGCATAATGTAGCAAATGCCCTGAAGAACAGGCTTAGTTCAGAAGTGCTCAGAAGAAAAAAAGATCTAAATGCATTTGATATGTAAATCTAACCAGCTCTACTTGCCACACAAAAGGGATTTATCCTGCTTTAGATTTTTAGCTTTATAATGGCAGTGGCAATCTTAGGGGCATCCCTAGCCAACTTCAGAACTCCCTGTTTGGTATAAACATGCTAGCTTAATAAAGTGGGGCTGGCCAGAAAGAAAGTTTTAAAAAAAAAAAGAAGTGCTGAGGTTCCCAAATTCATGCTTGTTTTATATCAGAGGAAAAAATGACACTTCTCATACGTTCCTGGGAGGGGAGTGAGCCACCATACACGCATACACGCACCCAAGAGAGCAACTCACTCCTGCCAAGTCTTGCTTCTAGTTTTTTCAAATCCAGCACAGCCCCTCTCCTACCAGATGTGAGAAAAAGGAACACGCCATTGCAAGCCCTGGTTAGCCTGATGCTGCAGCTATTTATGTAGCCTCTTGCACCACCAGGACAGCATTTGGCAAGTTCTTGTCCCTGGAGAAACCACAATTACTCTGTGGCACTGCCACAAAGGTAGACTGAAAACACAGCCCTTCTACTAACACACCAATCCCAAGCTAAAAATGATGTCGATCCAATATTCCTCCTACACTCATGAAACCTAAAATTGCTGTAAGGACTGCTCTTCATTAAAGTTCCGTTAAATGGGCCGTTGCAATAAATAAGCAAATTACTTCCTAGAGCCACAGCACACGGTTCAAGTCAGAATAATGCGGAAGGCATGACTTAACATTGGGCAGATTTTCAAGTCTGCTATCAAAACTATCAATCACCTTGTGTCTAAGGAATCCCGCAACACTATAATTTAAGCAAACACAGATATTGTTACAGGGAATGAAGATTGCCTTTAAATTGTCTTTGTGATGCAGAAGAAAGTTTGAATTGATGTACTAGTAGGTGTCCCTCCTGATTTCAGGCAAATCTGCAGGAAGATATAAACAAGATAAAGGCTATCTGGAGCAATATCATTAGCTAACCAAAGCCCTGCCTGTAGATTGTGGGTCTACCCCCTAATTTTTTTTGTCTCAGACAGCCAGGAAAAGGCAATATACCTCTCTCACCTTCCTGAGAGGAGCCTCTGAGCTGGATTAAAAATCCCAAATCAAAATCAAAGACAGTTCTTGCCTCAGAGATGCTGTTCATCTTTACTGTGATGTTGGCAAAACTCCTCAGATGATGTCAGAGCCAGAGCTGTAGCTATCTCTTAGATCAACAATGTCTAGACAATCTCATCCGAAAATACTAGAATCTGTCCATCAGGTATGGTGATGCCTGTAAACCATACAGGTTTATAGGCGCTACAGATTTACAGTGATTATGCACAGGGCCTCTTGTATTCTCTGGAACATACCTTTTGAGGAAAAGAAGACAGACTGCTTCATGCTATGGTGCTGAGATCAAAAGAAGTGTGGCCAGCAGGTAGATGGAGGTGATTCTGGTCCTCTACTCCGCTCTCTTGAGACCCCACCTGGAGCACTGTGTCCAGCTCTGGAGTCCTCAGCACAGGAAGGACATGGACCTGTTGGAACAGGTCAGCAGAGGGCCACAAAGATGCTCAGAGGGCTAGAGCAACTCTCCCATGAAGACAGGCTGAGAGAGTTGGAGTTGTTCAGCCTGGAAAAGAGAAGACTCCAGGGAGATGTTATAGCCCCTTCCAGTACTGAAAGGGGAGCTACAGGAGAGGCGGGGAGGGAGTCTTTATCAGGGAGGGGAGTCATAGGATGAGGGGTAATGGTTTTAAACTGAAAGAGGGGAGATTTAGACTAAGTCTTCGGAAGAAATTCTTTGCTGTGAGGGTGGGGAGACACTGGAAGAGGTTGCCCAGAGAAGCTGTGGCTGCCCCATCCCTGGAGGGGTTCAAGGCCAGGCTGGATGGGGCTTGGAGCAACCTGGTCTGGTGGGAGGTGTCCCTGCCCAGGGCAGGGGGTTGGAACTCAATGATCTTTAATGTCCCTTCCAATTTGGACCATTCTATGGTTCTATGATCAGTTTCATGTACCAACCAATAAAATTTGAGCAGCACTTGGAAAATTACTCTTCCTTTCCCCATATTGAACCCTTGTTTTTGTACATGTTTTGGTACATGTTTTGTACATGTACCAAAAACCATGGTTTTGTACATGGGTGCACACCGAGGTCTTTTTTGCAATCAGCTTATAGAGCCTGTGATGTCTTACAGAGCATCAGCTCCTCGCTGGTTACTGATGAGAAACATTGCTTTGTGGCCAACTCTCCAAAAGTCCTGCAGTTTACCATAGCATGTGTCAATAGGATAACAATGTCAAATCTTTCCTATGAAAAAGTGGAAAAGCATGGGTGCACACCTAGGTCTTGTTTGCAGTCACCTTATAGAGCATGTATGGACTGTGACGTCTTATAGAGCATCAGCTCTTCGCTGGTTACTAATGAGAAACATTGTTTTGTGGCCAGCTCTCCAAAAGTCCTGCAGTTTGCCACAGCATGTGTCAATAGGATAACGGTGTCAAATCTTTCCTATGAAAAAGTGGAAAATGACTCATTAAACAGCCTACGAACACACTGTAACTGCTCTTTTTTACCGTAGCCGTGGAAGGTCCTCAAGGCCCAAGTTCCTCCCTGCTAAGCATTTTGTGTGTGGGCTACATTCAAGGGCCTCTTGACTACTAACCTTAGATCAAAAAAACAGATACACACAAAAGTTGCAAGGAGCTGAAGGGAATTATGGCAAGAATATAGCAGTCATTACCTGGCACATTCATAATCTTTGCAAGGTTTCTTGGAGACATCACGGATGGCGTGCAGATGCAAAAAAAAAAGATACACACAAAAGTTGTAAGGAGCTGAAGGGAACTATGGTAAAAATATAGCAGTCATTACCTGGCACATTCACAATCTTTGTAAGGTTTCTTGGAGACATCACGGATGGCGTGTGCCCTCTTGCTAGCGCATCTGAGTAACAGCTCTTCTAGATAGTGGGATTTCAGTGTGGGAGAGCAGGTAAAGCAGATGGTGTCACCTTGTACCACTCACAGACATCTTATCCCTTCTTGATTAAACCAGTTCACTTCCAGTCCTCCTCCCCTCAATTTCCCTGGCTTCTACTTGTTGACTTCTGATTCAAAGATGTCCTTGGGCATCTAACTGCATGCGTGGGAAATTCCAGGGTGTAATGTTCTCAGGATATGCAAGTTGCTATTTTTAAGACTAAAAGGGAAGCGTAAACACACTTTAAAAAACAAAGAAAGTAAAACAAACAGAAAAAGAAAATAAACCCCAGGATTCAATCCAGCACACTTCAGTTTCTATAGGAGCTGGGATTACAGAGTTTCAACTGAAGGAAACCCGTGACAGTCAGGCAGGAACTGAACTTGTAACTCCGTTCCTTACACTCCAAAGTGTCATTTAGATTGACAAGCCCCACATTCGTTAACCTTAACGACACCTTGCATGGTTAATACTTTCCCAGAGAGAAAAAGAAGGGTGAAGGAGTTGGAGCTTGCAGCAAAGTAAAGAGTCAGGAAAGCCTTCGCCACCCAATACCCTAGGACAAACCATCACATTGCAGAGAGCACTATGGACCTGAGCTTCTAAGACACTTTTTAAGGAACCTAGAGTTGAGGCAGATGCTTTGCTTTAAAGGGTGAAAAAAAACCAATTAAGTATGGTGCTTCTTGTAAAATTAGAACAAATTAAAAATACTCAGTGTCATAACTTGCAGGATGATTGTGAGAATGTCATTTTCCTGAGAGGTAAAGGGAACGCCCTCCACTCAGTTCTGTAGTTCACCATCATTTGTATGAAAGGACAGAGATATTCATCTTACTTAGACCTGGTTCCCTACAAGGAGCAATGTATCCAACT